AAGTCTGAGTGCTTATAACGCTAAAATCTGGTTTTGATACCCGTGGTGGGCAGAGCACAAACAGTCATTGTGAATCTTTGTGCTTAACAACAAACAAACAAAACTCTAAAAGCTAGTTTACAAACACCATTTACTTTTATGCGATTAATATCTTGTCCAAACATACAGACTTTGATAAATCCATTGTTTTGTAATTATAACTTCGATTATCTTGCGCTTATCGAGTCTAACTTTCGACAACATGAAGTAATTTTATTTTATTATTTCCTCAAGCTTAACATTCGTCAGGAAAAGACGATTGCTACAAGCGTGTGTTTTGATGTTAATGGACTTGTTCAGTTGAGCAATTAATATCTCATCTCTGGGTGTCAAGCTCTTTAAGAGTTCTTCAAGCTCTAGCTAATTATTTGACATTCTTAACTACTTAGAAACAATTTAACTCCACAGTTACAAAGATTCTTTTACACTTTACACTATGCTGAAAAAAAATGAGGTTTGAATAAAATAATCCACATTTTCCAAACCGGTTTCTCTTTCTTTAGTCAGTATGCTTCTCAAGAAATGTAAGAATAATACTTCGTAAACACGAAAATAAAAACCTTATGACATATGTCCCTTTACCCTATTATGCATAAATATGTTTCAAGATATGGAAGATCCTTATATCTTAACTTTCAAGATTTGTATATGCTTCAAGACATCGATCTTTAAATCATAACTTCCCCTGGATTTATCCACTAATACTATCTTAAGAGTCAACTCAAAAATAAAAAATATATTAGTTGCTACTTTAAGGCCTAGTAGCTCACGAAACATTATAACTTCTGTATGTTAGGCTTCACTCTGTCATATTCAATTTCATTCACATTTACATCCTAATTTTCATTTGCTAATTACTATATATCTATAAATATATAATTCAACATTGTACTTATTAAATATTTTTGTAAATAAATACATGCTATTACGCTGACTGAGTCACAACCTAACAAGTCTTAACTATAGGAATTTATTTATATTATTTATATTTTTATGATGTGAGTAATAAGGAAAGCTACACCCAAAAAACATGTCTTTAAGAAGACATACTTGATAAAAGTGTAACTTGTAAGCTTAATTTGTAACGAATTTCCAAAAAGACCTAAAATGTTTTGGGTCTTCTGTTTTAAAATTTATTGCAACTTTTGTGTGTGATTCTGTACAGTAAATCTTTTATCAGAATTAAAGTTTATTTGTAGGTGTATACACTTTTTGGAAAAAAACAACAACATTGTTTTCTAACAGTTGTGTTCGTAAAACACATTCACATACATAACTGGAATGAGAATTTTTATTTACTCTACATTTATACCTTTAAAGGTGTGAATTCTTAACTTGCTAATAACAAGGGGCGTGTTTGTTTGAATCACACTCCAATCACGCCTGTTTTCTTACAATGTATGAAGTTCAAACGTTTTTTAAATTCTAATGGTTATTTTTTTTCAAAGCTAGAATAAAATGTGTAGAAAATCACACATTACTGCTAATGCACGATTCGACAATATTCTATTTGTAACATTAAAACAGTACGTCCGTTTACTGAGAGTTAACAGACTAATGACAGATCCAAAGTCCATCGTCAGATTACCTTCATAATTAACCTTTAACTAAACGTTGCAATGAATTATTTTATCTGCAAAGGCCCGGCATGGCCAGGTGGTTAGGGTGCTCGACTCGCAATCTGCGGGTCGCGGGTTCGAATCCCCGTCACACCAAACATGCTCGCCCTTTCAGTTGGGGGGGCGTTATAATGTGACGGTCAATCCCACTATTCGTTGGTAAAAGAGTAGCCCAAGAGTTGGCGGTGGGTGGTGATGACTAGCTGCCTTCCCTCTAGTCTTACACTGCAAAATTAGGGATAGCTAGCGCAGATAGCCCTCATGTAGCTTTGCGCGAAATCCATAACAAACAAGTATTTTGTCTGTTAGGGTCACTTCTAATATAAAAAAAGTCAAAATAAATAAAAACAGCTTTTGATTTAGATGTTTATTAACTAGTTCTTGTATACTGTGCTCTAAAATTTTTACACGATAATAATAATCATATTTCAAACTTTTGATTCATACAGTTTTAATTCAACATTTACGTATAGTAAGCCAGTTATTTGTCATTACTTTGTCGGACACGGAATCGAACCTTAGAAATTCTGATGTAGAATATAGCCGGTGGAGACATCCCTTGGAAAATCACCGATTTTAAAATAGTCTGTCTCAGATGGCAAGCTGCTTCTTATTGTAAACATATCAGTCTTTATGATTTATTAAAGCAGTGCTATCTTTAATTGCACTTTGAGTTATTATCATTTAAGTACACCTGGAAGTAATACATTTCAATAAATTTGATTACCCTACTAATAATTATCAGAGTTTAAAATAAGCATCACGACTATTATACTGTTTTAGCATGCTTCAATAGTAATTATTATGCTAAAACAATACCAGGAATAGAAAACAGCTCATCATCGTTCTGAGTTTCCTATTTATATTATAGTTAAGTTGACAGTATTTAATTTATGTGTATGTTTCAGCAGAATAAAACTGGGGGAAATATTGGAGATGGTGAGTAAACCCGGTACACAATAGTTACAGTTAGTCACGTTGTGAGTCACCAATCACTTGCATTGGTGAACCGGACACAAACTTGCACACTGATTAAACTGTAGATTTTTAAAGATACACCTACACTACAACTAACTGGTTCAACTCAAATCTGTTGTACATAATATTTCAGACACATAGCATGGAATAAAATATTAAATGAATATCTTAATGAACATTTTCAACGAGTTTTTTTTTTAACGTTGAAGAAGCTCACCGAGTTATTTTGAAATATCTTGTCTAGGTATTTATTTTACATCTCGAGAGCTATTTCCACTTGATGTTCCATATGATAAAGTGATTACCAGTACTCTCTTCCCGTGTAACATTAGGTCTAAAATCAATGTCCTTCGGCATTTCAAACTGATGAGAGATGTTCGAAGGATATCGAACTTGTATTGTGTGTGTGTGGAATTGTGTAGTTTAATAAATAATTAAAACTCTTGTATGCATGATAAAGTAATCGTAAATGAAATATGTTTCACGGAATGTTTATCACTCCAAGATTTCTTCTATAGGACATTCTTGTCAAGTGTTAAGAACAGAACAGACTCGCTGAAAACTAACACAAGCTGTGTCTATCTCAGTTTGTACGGAAGAACTTTGTTAAATGCAGTAAGTTCTATCTAAACGCACACCAGTAGCTGACATGCACGATTTAACACAAACTGTTTTTAGTTGACTCCATCGTGGAAAACCGTTTACCAGCCAACCTTCTGCGTGTGTTATCAGAAATTCCAGGACTCACAGTATCTGTCTGCATGCAACTTGCAACTAAGTATCTACCATGTGGTCCATTGCGTAGTATGGAGTTCAATATGATTCCTGTACTTACCATATGTTGTGGTATCAGAATAGAGTGTATTGACGTAAGATTAGTGTAGAACAAACCTTTATACTATCCAGGATGTTTTCTTTTTTAAGCTTCTGAAGATAGTTGGTTCATTAAAAGGCAAAGTACGTCAGTCTATCTTAATGACTGACGATAACAAACCAGTTAATACATATCAGAGAAAATCCACCAAATCGTTTTCTAGCCAAATGTAAATTGGGAATAGTTATTTTATTGCTCCCTCTAATAGAAGAAACAGAAATTCTGATACTACTTTAATTTCTTCACTTACATAATTTTAGAAATACGGTAAATACTCGTGCACAAACAGTAAAGTAATAACACGAAACAACCATTCCGTTCTTGCATTAATTAGATAGTTATATTTAAAAATAATTTAGCAATTTTAACGAAACATTTATAACAAAAGTTTTACTTTAGAGACGTGTTATCGTATCTATAATAGTCGTTAGAGAAGCTAGTTGACGCCAAGAAAGGCTGGCACATCATACACATATCCATTTCTACGTAAGTGTTTTAATATGAAATAATCATTTTCCCACAGTTCAATTACTTAACGTGTAAAAGGTTTCGTATATGTCACAGTTTCAATGAAATTCATCGAAATAATAACCATTATAACTACAGATAAAATAACAACAAAATGTCCTTTTGAATAACCTGTTCCCGTGTATGTGATATTTTGTGACTGACTCTGTGTATTTGTAGATTAGATTTATTGACATGAAACAATTTTTTTATAATATTGAAAAATATTCATTTTATTACTACATGTCTGTTTATCGACCATTCTAAAAGAAACAGTTTACTTATTAATATAAATCGTATTTTGTTTACCTTGTTTTATTACTATGTTTATCGTATCCTAGTTATCCTAATGAGCCCTAGTATTAAACGAAAGGCCTCGTTGGCACCCCATATGGTAGATATAGTATGAATGACATATTCTTCTTTGTTTTCATTCATTAGTTCTTATAAATCACAGAATCATTGTGTTCGTGAGCAAGTTATTGGGAATTATCATATAATTTTTATTATATATGATACTGATCTTTTACATTTTGTCTCTAATTAGACACCAGTGTATAAATTTAAGAACCAATTGATTTTTTTACGATTTTCCAGAATTTTCTACTAACTTCATTCGTGACTTCCAATTCACTTACATTAACAGTTAGTATAACGAGCTATGTTGAATCTTTAACAACCACTACAGTTTCAAGAGTAAGCAACAAACAACTCGAAGACGTTTCCCTGTTTAATCAACATTTATATTTCTTACAGGAAGAAGACTTATGTATATGAATTAACAGGACAAAAGATATATTGAGTTATGAAATGTCTTTCAAATGTATTTTATTGAATAAACGCCAAAGAATTCATGAAGAAAATTTTAAACAATCGAAAATACAGTTATATGATAATTACGTTCCTTAAATTAATTGTTTTTGCAGGTATAGTATCTGTCTGTACCATAATTTACTTCTTATTTTTTGTTCTATTTCTTACAGAGCAATAGGTAAAATTAGAATGACTTGGAAAAAGAAATCCCAATGTGCGCATATCCGAAGAGAGAATATCTTGCAAGGCAATCAGGAACGGCTTTGCAGGCGTAACTTGGAAATGATGCCTTATGTCGCTAGTGCTGCTCGAGCTGCTATAAAAACTTGTCAAGAAACCTTCGCTAACAGGCGATGGAACTGTTCTTCGATAGCTTTTGTACCTACGTTAACGTACGATTTAACTTCAGGTATTTGCCTTGGTGATATTCTTTGCCACTTAATGTTGTAACCATAGGCGGTGGAACAGTGGGAGGGGCACTGGGGGCACGTGCCCCAACTTTGACCCGGTAGTGAAGTACCCCTTTAAATGGAGAATAGAGACTTGTGTGTAACTATCATGGAAAGTCGCGGTTTCAGTTTTGAATTCAATAGTCACGGTTAACACAACTATTAAGGTGCCCCCCTACATTTAAATATGTTCTGCCACCTGTGGTTGTAACTTCATAGATATTAACACAGGCTGGAACTAATTTTAATTATGTGTATTGTTGTAACCTTATCATACAGTGATATTTTGTAAAATATTTCGTGTTACGTGTTTTAAAGATATCATATTTTCTGTAATATAATAACTTTTTATCATTTCTTGTAATTACATATTTCAGATTCGACCAGTAGGTTACAATGTTATATTTTTGGATTCACATATACAGAGTAGGCCATAGCAAGTTCCTAAAAGAGGAAAACGAAACCGAAACTACAAGTCACACAACAAACCTTATTTCATGATTAAGTTTTATTTATTTGCATGTTCACTGAAACAATCTTATATTACAAATGTTATGAAATCTCACACGAACACAACAGAATTATTATACTTTATGGGGGGGGATTACACGTTTTATGTTACCATCTGTATGTTGCAATATATATATTGATTCCTTAGCTATTATGCCGGGTGTGGCTCTCAGGTTAACGTGCCAGAATGTGGTTCCGAAATTATGTGATTCGCATCCCATTGCCGCAAATGTTGGTACATTATGAGCTATGGTGAGATCCCACTAATCGATTAGAGTGGTTCAAGAAATGGGGGTGGGTGCTGTTGAATAACTGCCTTTCTTCTGTTTCATCAGCTCAAAATTGAATATGATAGCGCAGATAATTCTTGTGCGTGAAAATAGTTGCCTAATTAGGACAGCTACATGCCACCACATTAATTGGATATAGTTTATAGACTCAGCATTCACAGTGCAATATGAGAAATTCGATTGTTACTTTGAAGGGCTTCTATTTTTACTTAGTAAAGTTGCAAATATATTTCACAGATATAAAATATAGAAACTTTTTTCATGTTAATACCGTTATTTTCTTCTTTTGGATTTCAAAAAATCCGATAAATTATCAGAAAGTAAATATACAATGCTGCTTCTGTTGCTAATAGCCTTTGATTAATGTTTCTTGACGTTAAGTTTTTAATACAGTCTATAAATTCATGGTGTCAAAATATTGAGTGGAACCGTCTGACCTTTGTGTTAAAATATATAATATGTTCTTTTTTAAAATGTTGATTGGAACAATAAATTTATGGTGTTGTTACGTCTCCGTTTGTTAATTAACTTTCCGCAACTTCGTTCCGACGAAACTTTAGCGACACAAGTCCTTACTTAATAAAACTGGTTTATTATTTCTGAATATAACTTCACGATACACTTGATTTCAACATTCGCGCTAAAACAAACCCTATAACGAACGTTAACTTCAACAATACTTTCTCACTGCAGATCAATTACTCACTACCTACACACACATTGTTGCGTCACGTTGTCACCCTCTTATATATACCAGACTACCCTATATCTAGTAATCTCCCGACAATTCCCGAAAGTTCGAGAGAACGAGTCACACTATCAAGCAACTTACTTTTTCTCAAACTGTTCTGGTGAAAGGTTCTTTTTTCTCTCAATTTTTTTCAAATTATGGCACATGTTACAATCAACTGGTGGCATAAAGACATTGCGAAGGGTAGAAGGAATTTCTAAAGTACAGAGTTTATGTGCAAGATCTTCATTGTT